TGCTCCATGCCATTGCGTAGAATCCACGAGTTCCACCAAGGACGTGTTCCTTTCACTAGCAGCTCCTCAGTCCTCTGCTGAATTCTCCATGTCTCCTGCTCCTCACTCCCAACTTTTTTTTCACAATCTTGGAGCAGATAGCTTAAAGTTCCATATTAGATATTTTGTTTTTTAAATTCCTTGGCTGCTTCTGCCACAGGACATTTTTCACAGGCAAGCTCTCTTCCTTGGTTGCCTGCATTCTGCTGTCCCGCGGCTATGCCCTGGGCTATACCGCCTCTTCCTTTTACAGTTTTATGCCCCCCTTCCCTTCCTCCCTCCCTCTCCAGAGCTAGCTCTTCACAGCCAGCTATTTCTTGCTCTGAGGAATTACAAGAACCAGATTTGAAGCTGTCATTTTTAATGAAATGTCCCAGTGCTCTGAGTCATGGTAGATTCTGCCTCCCAGAGAGGTGAAAATAAAGCTCTGTTCTGTTTTGGGAGACAACGCCACCTACTGCCCACTGAGAGACAGCTGCCAAACGCACAGCTGAAGGACCCTTTCCGTTTCCTCTTCTGGGTTGGGTGGCAGATAATCTAGGTAAGAATAATTTAGAAAGTATATTGAATTAGAGATGGTGATGAGACATTCAAGGATGCACAGGAATTTAAACTCAGTAAGGACATCAAGAGCATAGGTGAAGATCTGGATGGAACTGGGGCTCTGGGAGGTTATAGGACCTGCTTAAGTTTAACAGCTGCAAATTGGCAAAGTGGAGATCTGAATCTTGTCCATCTGCCTTCGACGTCCACGTAGCTCTACCTCATTTTCTAGGAGGGAGTGGATCTCCTTTAATGAATGGTTGGAGAGGTGAAAGGAAACCCAGGAACCAGCGGAGATGAGAATTTCGAGGAAGGGACTGCTGATGATCTCATGCCTCAGAGTCATCAGTTTGGATGTGGGCTGAGAAAACATCACTAGGATTTGAGTTTTGGGTTTAGTTGGAGACTTTTGAAAGAGTGACTTAAGATGCCTAGCAATGGGCTAGGGATCAGAGGGTAAGCAAAACGGGAAGACATAGCCTCACCTCTCACATAGCTAAGCATGAACCAAAGTTAGGGAAGTTGACAGAAATGTAACGGTAATCAGTTTAGAGGTGGTACAGGAAAGGGAAAGGTGCTTATAGACCTGAAAGCCCCTCTGACACCTCTGTGCAAATTAGATGGACCCTCCCCTTCCTCAGTGCCGACACTGCCCTGTGCCAAGGTCCATGGTTTGGTAAGTAGACTGTGGGCTGGGTCTCAGCCCTGACTCACCACCTCTCCAGGCTGCTCTGGTACAGTGAACAACCTGCCCAGCTGTAAGTGGAGGCCCTGGAAGGAGGAAGATTGAGTAGTTAGGAAGGTTTCATGCAGGAAACCGGGACATGAGCTGGGCTTAACCTGATATGAAGAGTTTAGAGCAGCTGCAAGAAGAGGTAGGAGGGCTTCTCTGCCAGGGAGTGTCAGAGCAGAGGCAGGAGAGAAGCAATGAAAGAGAAGGAAAAGATGCAAATCACCTGACTCCTGGCTCCAAAATTTTAAAATAGATGAAATTAGGTAAGATCACTCATTCAAAAAATTATCAAGCATCTGCTATATGCAAAGAGCTATGCTGAACGGGCTGTGAAGCAGCGGAATAATAATAACTCCTAATAATTGTGCACTGGTTTGTAATATATAAAGCACACCTATTCCCAGATATGACATTTGATCTGCTTTCCTGGGAAGGAGGCCCAGGTTGTGGCTGTCCCAGAACATGAAGCTCCAACTCTCAGAATTAGGACCATAATCCAGGTCTTTTAAGTAATCCAGAATTCCTTTCATTGTAGCCACTGATTCTTCCTCTTCTTTAAATTTAAGTAATTATTTAAATAGATGATACCCTTACTTGGTTCCAAATTGAAAAGTTACAATGGGAACATAGATGACAGTCCCCCCATCCCCACTCCTGTTCTTCATTCACCCAGACATCTAATTTCAGTGCCATTTTAATTTGAATTTTCTTCCAATAGTTTACATATTCATATGAGAGAGATTGAGTGTCTTTTCATATGGCTAGAGACACTGTTTTTTCCTCTGACATGTCTGTTCATTTTCTCTGCCAAGTTTCATACTTGGTAGCTAATAACTTTTTTTTATTTGTAAACACTCTTTATACATTAGAGAAATTAGCCCTTTGATATTGATGGTAGTTGTAAACATGTTTTCTTTATACATTTTCATTTGTCATTTGTCTCTTGACATTGCTTCCGTAATTTTTTCCCTGCCATGCAGATCTTTTAAAACATAGTTGTGTTTATGTCCATTCTTTTATGATGTCTATGTTTGAATCATTTTTAAGTTAGTGTTAACTTAAAGACAGTAGGTCCCTGCCTTCAAGGTGCTCGTTAAGGCAGCAGGAAAACCAAGAAAAGTACCTAAAAGACTACGATAGAAATTGCCATATGGTCAGTACTCCAAGGTGGTACAAATGGCTATTTCTTCATCTGCTGACCCAAAATCCAATTACCAATCTATCTATCCATTCACCTGCTCATTTATTAAGGCTTTACTGAACTCCTTCTAAGGGCAATAAAATGTATGAAAAGATGACATTTTGTGATGATGAAGCATGTGGGCGAGGATGACAGACATCCGGGTCCAAATCCAACTCCCTGTTTACCCCTCTGCTGCTTTGGGCATGTTACTTAATCTCTCTACATCTTTGTTTCTCATATTTTCTCATGGGATATAGCAAATGTGGAATGTGGAAGGGTCAAGGAATAGAGACTGATGGGCAGATGTGGTAGTAAGACGCTTAGGGAGACAGCTGTCAGACGAGTCCAATGCCTCTATCTGTGATTTCAGGTGGTGAGGTCTGTTCTGACAAGGACCAGTGAATGGTCAGCGGGGTGGGCAGCAAAAATAAAGGTCATTGGATGTGAGCAAATCAAGTTGCTGAAGGATCTCAGTGTTGATGGTCATCCACATAGTCCTTGAAATCACCCAGGAGGATGGCAGGATGTGGGGTAAGGAAGAGCCTGCAAGCCTTGATGAATCGTCCTCAATGACTCATCCTCAGTGAATCAAGGGAGATGGCTCCGTGGAGGACAGCATGGAACAGCAAGAACGTGGATGACCAGAGCTCTACAAACAGATATTTTTATCTGACTCTTGGTGATCAAGCTCAGGAGGTGGTGGTATGGAGTGAGGAAGGTGCCCACCTCACCCCGACCCGGAGACTCAAGGGAGCGCTCTCCCTTGAGAAGAAAGCCAAGGAACTGTGACTTTGGAGAAAGTGACTTTTTATTAATAACACCACAGCCGACAGTGGACAAGTGGGATTAAGGAAAGATACTATGGGGTGAGAGCTGAACAAGAATGTTGGACCTTTCAAAGCCTGAGCAGGCAGCTGTCATTAGTGTTACCCACTGCAGACTCCCCCAGTGTCAGTGCTGAGACCAGCCTGACTGGAGGGAAATTGGAAGAAAGTAGGGTGGGCAGTTGGTGTTCCGACATGATGAGCAGATGCCATGGTCCTGTGACACCTCGATCCCGAAGTACTGGCATCTGGGGGTCTGGGAGGTCTCCAGTCTGTGCGCTGACTCTCACTTCATATCATATTTACATCAGAGGCGCCAAGACTTTCCTCCTCCCCGTGCGCAAACAAGCCACACCTTTCACCAACCAAAGTCCATCTCGCCTTTCAGCTACCCTAGATTGGTCACGCAGCCGTGGAGAGGATGGGCCTCTTCACCTTTCCTCCCGTTTTACTAACACGTGAGTGTATATAATCAGCAGAGTTTAAAAAGAACCATTCACCTGCTGGCCATCTCTCCAGATCTGGAGCCTGAGAAAATAACCTGAGGTCATAGCAGGAGAAGTTGAGGTAGGATCCCAAGAGAGCTTCTCTGAAGGAGGACTAGGCAAGAGGCTTGGGGATGAGGAAAGAGAAGTGAATGCCCAGTGTTTAAGGGAAGAGAGGACAGGGAGTATTTCCTCCTTTGGGTCATCTTTGGAGATGATTTGAAAGTCAGGGAAAGGGTATGTTCAAATATTACACAGCTCTCTGGTCTGCTCTGTGTCCGGGTCTCTTTCTCTTTCCCTTTCCTTGTAGAATTTGTACAACCCTGAAGAGGATGCTGGTTGGGAGAATGAACAGCCGACAGAGATGCTGTTGCAAATGGTTGGGTAGTGGTTGATAGCAGTAGTCACATTCTTAGAGTGTGACCGTGCGCCTTCAAGCATCACAGGGTGGGAGAGGACACCCCATTTCCTGCCAGATTCTCTCAATTGAGGGCAAATCAGAGAAGACTTTCAAGTTTTTGATGCTCTGGTTTCTGACCAGGACACTCTGGCCTTTTAATTTTGAGCTGTAAAAATATTCACAGAAAGCTCTGAAGAGGGAAATCGAATTGGTTTTTGAATCACCTGCTTCCTCCAGGTGTATGAAAAATAAAGAATGATGTCTAGTAAAGACAAGGAAACTAGAGGGCACATGTCAAAGCTGATGATTTATTTCTGAAACTCGTGCAGCATGGTGGTTTCTGTGGTCTGTGCTACGGCTCCATTGATGGAGAGCAGGCCGTTGCCTGAAGTTGGAGAGCTGAGTCGTGTCCTCTAAGCTGCTCCAGGGCTGCCTCCTTCCAGCAGGGCCACCTTCTCTGGACTGTCTAGTGCGGCAGAACTTCCAAAGCACCAGTGGGGAAGGAGGCCCTATAGGCTGGCGGCTGGTAGTGTATGGTGGAGCCCATGTTCCCTTTGCGCCAGGACAGCCAGGATGAGGGCATTTGCCCCATCTGCCCCATCTGCCAAGAGTGCCTGAAGGAGGCGGTGAGCACTGACTGCGGACACCTCTTCTGTCGAATATGCCTGGCACGGCACCTGGAGGAGACCTCGGCCTCCGGAGTCCGCAGCTGTCCCCTCTGTCGAAAGCCCTGTTCCGAGGGGGTCCTGGGGGCTGGCTACACCTGCCGCAGACACCAGAAGAAGGTGTGCTGGTTCTGTGAGGAAAGCAGACATCTTCTGTGTATGGAATGCCGGGTGTCCCCTGAACACAAGTCTCACTGTGAACTGGCCATTAAAAATGCCATCAGCCACTACAAGGTAAGGGGGGGGGTCATCACAGCCAACCACTGCCACCACCTCCCTGAGTTACTCCTTCTTACTCCCTGTCCAGTACTCCTGGCATATCCTAGAGGCTCGGTAACTGACACTTTTCTTCGTCTCTTCAGCTTCATCCTATTTTGGACCCTTGTCTTTGCTTTTCTGTGTTTATTTTGCTACTGATGTTAAAGTTTCAATGCATGCATCTAAGAGGGGATACTGACACTGTGATGTCAGATTCTCAGGAAGCATGAGCTCCTCTCACTTCGCTCATCTGTAGAAGGAAGGAGTGGGACTAGATAATGCAAAACTCTTTTAGTTCTAAAACTATATGGTTCCCCTGGTTGTTTGTACTAGAAAATTCGCTAGAAATGTAATCAGGTTTTACATATGTTAACAATTATCTTGCACATAGGTTGAAACTTGGAAATTAGTACATGATTCTCTCTTTCTCTTCCCTCTTCCTTTGTCTTTTCTTTCCTTCCTTCCTTTCTATAGTGATTACTTTATCTTATTTTATTTTTTTATCATAAAAGTGGTACATTCAGACAACACTGTAAGGTATAAAATGAAAACTAAAAATCTTCCTGATTTCCTCCATTCTCAGTCCTCAGAGGTAATCACTATTAGATTTTGTGTATCATTCTTCTAGAAAATTGTGTGTGTGTAAATTTACTCTAACACACACACACAAAGTTTCTTTCTATTGTATTTTTCTGTAACTCATTTTTAATATCTAAAAATACATCTTGGACATTAATCTGTTTTCCCATCAGTACATATAGATCTTATGAATTCTTTTCAACAACTTCATGGTTTTGCATTATCTCCTCCAACCCCAGCCTCCACCTGTACATGTCCAGCAATGCGGGATTCTTCTTCTTTTCCTGAAGCAACACATTTTAAGTGTTTTAAAGAGGAAATGAGGTAAAATGACAAAAATAAAAAATGTACCAATAAAGAGCCAACAACAAAAAAAACTACCCCCCACCCATTTTTTCCTGACCTGAGGTGAGAAGGATTTACTTAATGAAACACATACTCTCTGTGTTTTGTTTTGTTTGGTGGGGAAGTAATTAGATTTACTTATTAATTTTAATGGAGATACTGGGGGTTGAACCCAGGACCTCACACATGCTAGGCAGGCACTCTACCGCTGACCTATACTCTCATCCCCTACCCTCTTCATTTAATAGCACATTCTTATTTTTAGTCCACAAATCCCACCCCCCTTTTTTTCTGGTTTGTTCATTCCATTTAATCATCTTTCCTTCTTCTCCATGGGCAACCACTTAAAGTGTTCATTCTATTTTTATTTGTAGACAGTTTGGTAACATACACATTGCTGCATTGGGTGCTTGTGTATTAACAAAATAACATCATAGGCCTCATTCTATTTCTTGTTTTTCCAACCTACCATGCTTTTTAAGATCCGTGCATGTCTTATGGGTCACGTAGTCCATTGTTTCTGACAGCTGCATAGCAGTCCACAGCGGCACGTGCAGCATTTTACTCATCCATCTCCCTGGGAGTGGACTTTACAAAACTCCAGGTCTCTGTTACCACAAACAACATTGTAGTGTGCACGTCCCCTTAGAACCTAAGTGAGGAATTTTCTAGGATTTTTACCCAGAAACAGGACGACTGGATCATAGTGGATAGCACACTTAGATGACCAGGACCCTCTCCAGAATGGCTGCACCAGCGTACACCTCAGAGCCCACAGTGTGGTCCTCATATCCACATACATCCCCCACCCCCAGGCATTATCCAGCTGTCTAATTTTTATTAATCTGATGGGAGTCAAATAATATTTCATCGTTATGTTAATTTCCATTTCTCTAATCACTGGTGAGTTTGGGCATCAATTCATTCTCTCTTCTGTGAATTAATTGCTCATATTCTTTGCAAATTTTTCTCTTGGGTTCTTGTCCGTGTTGATTTCTAGGCTTTCCTACTATAGTCTGTATATAAGTCTCTTGTTAGTTTCAGACATGGCAGCTATTATCTCTAATCTGTCATTTCTCTGTTAATTTTGTCCATAGTGTTGTCACTGAAGAGAAATGTTTAATTTTGAGGCAATCAAATTAAATAATTATCATGATTTGTGTTTCGAGGGTTTAGTTAAGACATCTTTCCCTACTCCAAGGTCACAAATGTATTCTCTAACATTATTTTCGATTAACTTCATAGTTTTCCTTTCGCACTTAGGTCTTTAATCCATCTGGAGTATACCTTCACACATGTTTCTAGGTGGGGATCTGGCTGTATGTTTCTCCGTTGTTGTAGCCAGTTTTGTTTTTTTTTTCTTTAATGGAGGTGCTGGGTAATGAACACAGGACTCGAACATGCTAAGTGCGCACTCTCCCCCTGAGCTATACCTCCACCCGCTGTAAGCCCATTTTCTCAACACTATCCCCCTACAGATTCTGTCCCTTTTATCACTGATCTGTGTACTACTTTTTCTTCTTATTTTATTTTATTTTCTTCCAGTTTCATTTATTTATTTACTTCTTGTATTTTGATGAAGTAGCATATTTTGTAGCAATTTGAAATGCTTTATTTTGTGATTTCCTGGTGAACTCATTGGGAAAGGTACATTTCTTTCTTTTGTGTGTGTGTATATATGTTTTTATTGAAGTCAGTTTACAATATTGTGTCAATTTCTGGTGTACAGCATAGTGCTTCATCATACATGAACACACATATATTCATTTTCATATTCTTTTTCACCATAAGTTACTACAAGATATTGAATATAGTTCCCTGTGCTATACAGTAGAAGCTTGTCTTCCAATTTTACTGAGATATAATTAACATACAGTACTATATAAGTTTAAGGTGTGCAGTATAATGATTTGACTTACATGCATCATAATATGATCACTACAATAAGTTTAGTGAACATCCATTATCTCATGTAGATACAAAAGTAAAGAAATAGAAAAAAATTTTTCCTTATGATAAGAACTTAGGATATTTATTCTCTTAACAACTTCCATATGTAACATACAGCAGTGTTAATTATATTTATCATGTTGTCCATTTCATCCCTAGTACTTATTCATCTAATAACTGGAAGATTGTGCATTTTGACTACCTTCATACAATGACCTCCCCCCCACTTCTGGTAACCACAGATCTGATCTCTTTCTCTATGTTTGTTTGTTTGTTTGTTTGTTTTGGAAGTATAATTGACCCACAACACTTTGTTAGTTCCTGTTACACAACATAGTGATTCAGTATTTCTATTCATTTCAAAACGATCACTGGGATAAGTCTAGTTGCAGTGTGTCACTATACAAGGATATCTCATAGTTATTGACTGTATTCTCCACACGTACATTCATACCTGTGGCTCATGCATTTCAACTTTTTCTTCTTAAATTCTTTTGTGAACACAAATCTGTACCTGAGCTCTCTCTTCTTTCATTTTCTGTTTGTTCTTGTCCCAGTACCACACCGTTTTGTTATGATGGCTATGTATGCCCTTTTATCTGGTCGGGCAAATACATTCTGTAACTAAGCTGACTAGAGATTCGAAGAAGAATGTCTCCAGACTCTTTTGCTGACACCCTCATCCTGCACCTTTCTTCCATTTTGATTACTTAAAGGCCTATGTTGATATCAGTATCAGCTTTGTTTATGTTTCCTTCCTACATAGTTTATCAAAAACCAGAAAGCGAATCTTTTACAAACTGAAATCATTCATTATGTCCTTAGCTTCTGGGACACAGTGACCCCTCCTGGCACTGATTTAAGATTTAGAGAGATGTGCCATGCTTTCCTGGTCTATGGGTTTGCCTCCAACAGAGGATTCTTGCCCATCCCAGCCAGAATGCGTGAGTGGTATATGAGGCTTTGAGTCACCTCTGTAAGTCAGTTCTCTCTAGACTGGCTTCACTTGTTAATGGGAAGTAGTAAGAATTATCAGTGATCAGCACACAACTCTAAGATGTTGACAGAAAAATATCCTGAAGTCAAGTAGAAAAGGTTCTGTTACTGTTATTTTTGTGTAGTTAAGACTTTTTAAAAATTACCCATTGCTTTCCCCCATCGTTATCCATGAAATAAACTCTCGTGCTCCTTACCCCAAGCATGATGCCTGGAAGGCTGCCTCTTTTCAGGCAGTATGTTACTCTAGCCTCATCTTGCGATCAGAACCCCTACCATCTGTCCCGAGGGCACCGCCCTCATCCCCAGTCTGACCAGCACAGGTATCTGTCTCTCTAGGAACGACTCAATCGCAGGAGCAGGAAGCTCAGAAAGGACATCTGCGAACTCCAGCGGCTCAGGGCTCAGGAGGAGGAGAAACTGCAGGCTGTGCAGGTGGGGCTCAGAGTCCTGGGAAGGACTTCCGGTTCCGGCCATCTGTCTGTCTGGAGCAGTCTGCTGTCGGGGGAGGTCTTGGAGGCTGGAAACATGGGAGCTGGGCTCTCAGCCTCGGGGTTTGCTGGCTGAGTGACCTGGGGCAAGGCAAGCCCTCTGATCTTCACGTGGTTTATATGTTCATTGAAAGCCAGTCCTGCCCTACTTGGCTCACAGTGAGAATCAAAGGAGACAAGCAGCCCCACAACTGCAAGTTGCTACACAAACCAAGGTCTCCTTCTCGTCTCTGACCAGCTATCTTCCTGCTGAGTGGGGTGTGTGCAGGTGTGAGCGTGTGCGCACTACCCACGTGTGACATGGGATCTATGGATGTTCACAGGAGTGCAAGGTGGGGAGGGGAGGTGTCCCTGCCTTCAAGAGGAATACAGCTGCCTCTCCAATACCTGTGATGTGCAGAGGCAACACCATGAGGTGGGGAGGACTGAGGAATCAACATTCTCACTCAACATTCAGAGACTGAGGGTTGGGGAGCCATGTGTCATTGACTCTTAGGGAGTCCGTTTTCTATAGTTTCAGGTAGACTGTGGGACCCACAGGCTGGAGACTGAGTTGGAGACCCAGCACCAAACCCGGAGACAGCTGGAGGCCCTCTCTCAGCAGCAGCCAGACCAGTTGGAGGACATGCCAGCAGAGATGTCCAGAATCTTTGACATCTCCAGGGCAATAGTGCAACTCAGCAGGCTGGTCACTGATCTGGAGAGGATGGCCAAGAAACTGGATGCCAACCTGCTGAAGGTGCAGGCCCTAAGGCACTTCCCAAGGCCCAGGACTCTCCCCAAACAGCTTACCTGTAGCATCCTTCTGAGAGGTGTAAGGAGAGGCTTCTCTGTGACATGTGGCAATGGCTTGTCCAAGTTGCAGCAGAGCAGGGTACATGAAAGGGGTGTTATTCCCTCTTGTTCTCAAGGTGACAGCCCAGAGGGACATCCACTAGTGGGTGGGAGAGGGGGAATTTGGAGGTGACATGAACCTGAGAACTGATTGTGATTCTCACTCTCTTTCTCCTAGGATGCCAGTTACTTATTGAACAGGTATGAGCCATCCCATCTTCCTTCCCACAGGTGCTTATACACACAAACCCACCCAAACATAGACATGTGCATGGGCTTTATCAAAGTCAAGGAGCGCCACTATGCCATTAACCTGCATCTTCATGCTACTTGGACAGTGAAAGGTCCAACAGAATATACTGAATGATTTCTTTGTTTCTAGGAGCACACCAGAGCAATTAGAGGCTGTTTATCCTAACTTAGAGAAGAGACTTGACGAATCACTTGTTCAGCCATCCTCGGCAGATCTGACCTGTTCATCCCTGGGCCACCTCATCTCAGACTCACCTCAGCCTCCTGGCTTTCATTCTCCCAACCTGTCCAGCCTCCCACTGAGTCTACCTAGTGCGCCTTCAGTCCTGCCCTGTCCTGAATATGATCCCCTCTCCTCATCCCCACAGTTGTGAATGGATGCCTGACCCTCTGACTCCTGGACAGTTTCACAGCCTATTTCCTGAACCAGACTCCTGCCTGTGGCTCCCACTGCACAGGTCAGGATCCAAGATCTCCGTTTTGCCTGTGAACTGATGGTAGCACCCATCTCTCACAATCTCATATTAAACTCGGAGTCCCCAGGAAAGTGGATGGCATGAGCTCACCAGTGGTGAGGCCACTCTGCCTATGGAGTGGGCATGTCTGTTGGAAGGAATGCTCCTTCTGAGCTCCTGTAGCACCTGTTGTCTGTACCACTCACCTGGAACTTACATTATTTTTATGGTGGGCAGACTCTACTGTGACCCCACCATGGTTCTCGCTTTTTGGTGTTCATGCCTTCATGTGATTCCATGACTTGCTTCTAATCAATGGAATATGGCAAAGGGGATGAGATGTCACTCCCATGATTAGGTTATGTTATATGGCAACGGGGATAGAATATCACTTCAGTGACCGTTACACTGGATGGGACTCCTCCTTGTTAACAGACTCACTCTTGAGACTCTCCTTGCTCTGCAGATGAAGTACGTGACCCTGTGGCCAGCAGGCAGCCTCTAGGAGCTGAGAGCAGTCTCCAGCTTTCAGCCAACAAGAAGCAGGGGCCCTCAGACCTGCAGTTGCAAGAAAATTAATTCTGCCAACAGCCTAAGTGAATTTGGAAGGGGATTTTTCCCTAGTTGAGCCTCCAGATGAGAACCCAGCCCAGCTGATACCTCAATGGCAGCCTTGTGAGACCCTAAGCAGAGAACACAAATTTCTGACCCACAGAAACTGTGAAGCAATAGCTATCATAGAAACAATGATAGAATAAATGTGTGTTGTTTTAAGATACTACATTTTATGGTAATTTTAATGGAGCAATGAGTAATACATTTTTATATTAATTACTTGTGCATCGCTTCTTTGGTTAAGGACAGTTCTCTGTCTTTGTGCCCCCAGGGTTCAGGAGAGTAACTAGCTCATAGTTGGAGCCCAGTGAAATTTATTAAGTGGATGCATGAGTGAATTAATAGAAAGTATAAGGGCCTTCTTGATGTTGAGCTTCTTACTAGTCTTTATGGAACCCTTACAGAAGTAGTCAATACTATACTAAGTACTGAAAGATATAAAGAATAAAACATGGCTACAAGGAGTGGCTGCATTATGGTGGAAAGAGTAAAAACTCAAGAATCAGACTTGACTGGGAGAGACTCGGACAGAGGAGAGAGAGTGAGGCTGGCAAAGCCAGGGCTGGCTTCATGGGGCTGGGATTGGACAGGCAGGAGAGGAAGGCGGGAGAGAAGGGTGAGCATCCAGGATCCAGGCTGGGATACTGCACAAGTGAAAGCGTGGCGGCAGGGAGAAGCCACAGCACGTTTGCAGTACAGGAGACTGACCCAGTCAGTCTGGAACACCCGGGAGTGGGGAGGATCAGAAGCCAAGCAGAGGGTTAGATGACTGACACCAAGACATAGGTAGCCATCAAAGGCTTTTGAATTAGGAGTGAAGGGAACAAGAGGTGTTTAAGGAGAACCAGTCTGGACTCTGGGTGCTAGAAGGATTGAGGGCAGGGAGTTGAGGGCTAAAGGGGAGAAAGGAGAAGAACCTAGTGTGGATGTTCAGAAAAAGAAGTTACTAGACAGGAAGCTATAGGTCTCAGGGAAACATGAGACCCACAAGTCTACAAACAAGACATTGGCCAAGG